TTGGAAGTATGTGACTTAATTAAAGAGTAAAAAAAATAGAACACAGTCTAAGCATACCTGAATGGCTGGCATATCAACACCTACCACTAACAATAACAGAAGAGAGCAGCTACACATTTTGAAATTCAGTGGATGAACGTTCTTCTGGCTCTGTTTGTATTTCTTTTATTGGCTTAGTTCCCTTCTCCCATTTCTTCTTGGCAGCATTTTCTGTTCCTGCCCTTATTATATGCTTCCACAAGACACAATTGCCTGTTTTTACTACTATTACTTCTGCTACTATGATGATAGCAGTAGCAGCAGCAGCAATACAAGACTGGAAGAATACTAGATGATTCATCCACAACAACAACAACACAACAACAACAGCCTTGAAACATGCTGGAGTGAAGGTGGGTTGAAGGTGCTGTTGCTAAGTGCCAGATCAGTGAAAGGCAAGGCAGCTAACGTCCAGGATTTGATCCTGGAGGAACATGCTGACCTGGCTTGCATTACAGACATCTAGTTGGGTGAAGCTCAGAGAAATGTCTTTCTCAGCTTTGTCCACCAAGGTTCTCTGTGCAGCAGCAGGGGTGGCGGGAGGAGATGTTACACTAGTGTACCAAGAGTCATTCACCTGTATCAGGCACCATTTTCCAAAGGCTCCTGGGTTCAACAGCAGGCAACTGAGAGTGGGTGCCCAGACCAGAATAGGGTTTTGTTGGTGTACTGCCCACCCTGTTACACAACAGTCTCCCTGCCTGAACTGGCTGATCTGGTCTCATGTGTGGTACTGCAGTTGCCTCAGGCTGTTGTGCTGAGAGATTTCAACATCCATGTGGAAACTTGTTTATCAGGTGCAGCTCAGGACATCATGTCTACCATGACGACCGTGGGGCTGTCCCAACTGGTATCTGGCCCCACTCTTGCAGGACACACTCTTAACTTGGTTTTCTGTAGTGGGCAGGATAAGAATAATATGATAATAATAATCTTAGAACTACAGTGGTGTCAACAAAGTAGCAATTCTTCTCTGTCACTATTGCATCTGCACAGAACCATCCGGTGGAGTTCTTTTGGGTGGTTGTATCAATCAATCAATCAATCAATCAATCAATCAATCATCTTTTCAACTGTTGGCTTTTTAAACTGTCAGAGTGAAGAGTCTTTATCGGGGCAGGTTCTTTAGTCAGAGCAGGGACAACAACTGTTGGCTTTTTAAACTGTGTCAGAGTGAAGAGTCTTTATCAGGGCAGGTTCTTTAGTCAGAGCAGGGACAATGCTTCAAAACCAGTTAACAGAGGAACAGCAGGTACAAATATATCTGGTATACAGTTCTTTCTCTTTGGATGTTGGTGTACTGATAAGGAAAACCTTTGATTTTTCACGTCACATAGAAGCACAACTCTGTTTGGCTTTATTAGATCATTAAAACCTTATTAGATCATTAAAACCTTACAAACAAGGTGCTTTTTCATCCCCCCACACCCAAACTCTTCTTCAGATCTAAATAATATAATCTTTGAAGATGAAGACGCAAAAAGCCATCCCCATCTGGCCAGAAGTAATGGTGATTGATCTTGAAGGTTGATTCCTAGCATGTTAGATTAGTCATAGAAATAAACTGGGGGCCAAAGTTCCGGCTTAAGGCTGATAGTGCTGAAGTTAAACTCTGGCTTTCCATTCCTGTCATTCAGTCCCTGCCCCCCCCCCATGCTTGCTGTTTAATGTTGCAGCATTGCTTGCTTTGGAAATTTCAGATCCTGACAACATTAAGCTCCTCTAAACACCTCTGCTCATAAGAATACTGTCACATTTCTTCTTGTTAAGAGGATAGAATACACATGATATGGATTTGAGTCTGTCTTTCCCATTAACCCAAATCCCTAATGGGAATGACATCTAAACAGTTGGTGTATTTCAACACTTTGGATGTATCTGAGATCGCTGTTCAGTTGAAACTGATCTGAATCCAGACTGTAAACACATGAGGAAGAACCCATACAAAGTTGAATGTACATGTGTCATGGTCGATTATTTGAAAAAGGTTAAACATTTCCACTAAAACACAGTAAAAGTTAAATATGGGCAGAATTTACTTATTTTTTTAAAAAAAGAGCAATGTAAGTTACTTAAAAATGTTGCAAAAGTTAAAGTCTAAAAATTATTTAGAAGCCAACCCTTTTTATATTTACACAAAAGGCAACTCCATAAAGTGTGAAATTAATTGCAGATATTATGAGGCAGTGCTTTAGAGACAAATTGTGATGAAGAAGAGAATGTGGATTATACGAGAACTCAAAAAATAATGTTATTGGGAAACAGAATACTGCTGGCCAGCCATGTGTGTGTTTTTTTAAAAAAAAACACACCAGTAAAATCAGCAACTGCTCACTCTAACAACCTGTATTGCCATTTAATACTGAAATGTGCCATACGTGCTTTATCTCTTAAGATCAGACTGATTTGGGAGAAAATTATTAGCCTGAATAAAGCTAAAGATGGAGCAATAAAAACTGATAAATTAAAATTAGATGTCCTTTCTTTAAAACTGTTTAGAACAAATGTGGACATGAAAATAGTTTTATGAATGCAGATATACTGTAAATGAAAAGAGCTTTTGGAGTCTTATGATATTATCTATCTGTCTTTCTACTGTGAGTATTTGGCAATTTCAGTTGTATTTACATCTGTATGAGCTGATAGAAGCTATTGCTCTAAGCATTTTTAATAGCAAGTTTGCTTCTGAGTTTATTATTCTTATACAATGATTTGAGTACCTTACTGAAAATCACCAGCACCATATTGTGGTATTTTACTGGGTGACTCACTATCCAACAGTTTCTTTTTTAATGTTCTCATGTTTATGTGCAGTTGAAACCTCTTGCTCCCAGTAAGACACGTAAGTCTTACTTAGAACAAGAGGATCGTTTTAGTGAGCCTATGCTATATAACTGAGGGTGTGAATGCATAAATGAATAACAAATAAATGCTCTGGGAATGGGACAGTCTGTTTTACATTATTTTCCATACTTTCCCCCTCCACTGCTGGGTCTTTTAGTTTTTGTAAAGAAGTGAATGCATTCACACTGTTCAGGAAGACAGGAAAGAAAAGGACACTCATGAGGGTTTCATTTCCTCTTACTAAGCACTGTTTTGTCTTCAGTAAAGATTGGTGCTATGTTAGTGGCGTAGACCAGTAGTTCCCAACATTGGGTCCCCAGATGTTCTTGGACTAAAATTCCCTGAAGCCACCACTAGCTGGGCTAGCTAGGATTTCTGGGAGTTGCAGTCCCAGAACATCTGGGGACACAAGTTTGAGAATCACTGGCCTATATAGCTAGAGACCTAGGGCTGGAGGAGTGACCAAGGAGGAAACTAACAGCCAGACCTTGTTTGCAACTTGTTAAGATAGCTCTATGGTAGGTATGCTTTCTACAATTGTAGATGGCCACTGTAGAGCCATTTTAGCAAATTCAGATTAGCAATTTCCTCTGTTCTGTCCGCTGACTCCTTTGTGATTTGTAAAAGCAAATTCATTTGAGGAAACTCAGCCTCCTGGATGAGACTTCACAGTAGATCACTTTGCATTTTTCCTGCTGTGTAGTCACAGTTGAAATTGGAATCCAATTCAGTCACCACAAGCATATACACACTGAATTTAAATTGAGTACTATGCTTAACACTGAAAATTGCTTAAAAAAAACTTTTAATTTCATTATGCTTCAAATTTAATTCTTTAAAATAATTTTAAAATGTGAAATGAATAAAAGTAGAAAATGTAAAAACTTTTTTAACCTGCTCACCCGAACTGGCCCCTGAAAATTTGGCAGTTAGGTGCCTCTTCACTTAGTCTTTGAGTGAATGCTACCTACTCAACACACTTATGACCGTGTTATTAATTATGCTCCATCAAATACTGACAAATCAACCATTTTGTAAAGAGAAGAATCTCTGCATCCATTTCTATGGATTATTTTCTGTAAGCTTCTACGTAAGAAACAGGCATTAAAGAATTGTGAAACCATAATTTTGTGAGGAAAATCCCTAACAATTGTGTTGTTTAAGGCGGTCAGGCTGAACACGATGATGGTGGAAACCATATGAACCAATACTGTGTGTCTTTGAGCCACATTATACTTTTAGGTCTATGTCTAAGATTTTTTTTCACACAAGGATAATTCCAAAAATCTAAACCACGCATGCAGCAAACAGCTACGTATTTAAATCAACACATGAATCCATCAAATAAAATCATCAATGGTTGGTCCATATGTGGCTTCCCCTGAACCTACATATGATAGCAAATTTGATAGACTTGCTGCTGGGTGATGTGGGAAGCAGTCCTAACAGTGTCAACAAGCCCTTAACATTGTCTTAAAGGAGACTTGTTAACTTGTTTGTGTATCTAAAATAAATCCTCAAAGAACAAATAATCAGAAAGTGTCTTTCCTTCCCCTACTGACTACTCTTTCCAAAAGAACCAAACATTATAGTATCAAAAGTGCAATTAAATGGTCAGTGGGTTTCGGTGGATGTCTTTTTCCTCATTGAATTCCTATCAGTATGTCCTTTTATTTGTAGCTTAACACAGAATACAGAGCAAAATCTACAAACAAACTGCTTACTGAACTTCTTACAGAAGTAATATAGAGAACCATAAAGCTGCTGGGGAGAAGTGAATATTGACACCATTGTAGAAGCCCATTTAGTGATTTACTCTGAATTCATTATAAGAAGGCCAAAGCCTTTTCAGTTCATCTGCACTAATGAAGGGTTTCATTTATTCCTGTAATGTCTTTGCAATGACAAAAACTACTTACTACTAACAAAGAGATTTGCTAACAAGGAGGCATAACGTGCTGATGTAGGTCATTGTGCCAATGTATTGCAACAGCACATTCAGTATTCTTGATCCAATAAATGTATCTTTTCCTGGCTGTTTTGTACGATAAAGTATCCTCTAGTAAAATGTAATATGTACAATATGAGACATGTGAATACAAACCAAGCCTTCCTACCTGTAGGAGTGAGATGTCTCCAGGTGATGACAGGTTCAGGACGTCCATTTGCCATACACACTAAGGTCACGTTACTCCCTTCGTTCACAGTGATGTCTGAAGAGATGTTGGAGATCTTTGGTGGAACTAAAGGAAGAAAGCATAATTGATCAATTTCAGGAATGTTAGTTCTTTTCTTTTCACAGGAACTCTATCCTTTCATTGATTACTCTTTCTGAATGCACAGACCAAGAATGATGGCAAAAGTTTAAAAACCAAAATTAGTTGCTATGGTCACTGAGAACATGTTTTTGAACAGCTTATTTTTACTCAAAAGTACACATTTGACTTTTTACTATTATTATTTGTCAAATGAATTATGTAATCAAATCTGACCAGGGCACAAGAAACACACACACACACAGAGAGAGAGAGAGAGAGAGAGAGAGAAAGAGACAGAGAGAATACCTGATGTTTAACTTGGACATAAAACTTTTTATACATGGATTTCAATAATCAGAGTAAGTTTATTTGTGTTCACTAAAGCCTGTGCTCAGATGACCTTTCTCCTAAGCAGCTGAACATAGCATTATGTTCCTAGAGTCAAAATGCAAGTAATAGCAGAAACCCATTTCTGAAGGCATGGACTGCCATACCAATTAGCTATAAAGGAGAGGGTGTTCTGTTTCAAGTGTATATGTAGGGTGTGGGAGGATGTGTTAGATTTGCAACCCACCTGCTGTCTTCTTCCCAAAAGTCTCCTTCCTTATGCCACTTTCTGCTTAAGAGAAAGATAGCTGGAAGGAGAAAGTGTAGCACATATACAGAGTAGAAGGAGACAGTAGACCAGGTAACAATTCAGTACAATGTTTTGCTGATTCTCCTCTTGAAGTCTCCCCATATCTTCACTGGTGTTTGTCAAGGACCTCCCCACATCAAGTTGCACAGTATCAAGGTTTGACCAATTATTTTTTAAATTTGTTAAAACCACTTACAAGAGGCTATCCTGGAAATATGATAAATTAAAAAAAAACTGACAGCTTGCTGTCCTTTCATGTGGCCCAGTTAATGATCTTAAGCAGCCATGTAGCCTTGCCTAATTGAAAGTCTGGTTCTGAGTTTGATTCTGTCCATGTTCTAACACGATGGATCTTAGTCTTACCACATAGTTTGCCTCTCTTGTCATATCTGAAGTCCAAGTACCTGAACTCATAGGGACTCACTACATTCTATACCACACAGTTTCAGTTTCTATGTATGGGTTCAATGTCTTATTTGGCATGACAGAGAGATGAATTTGCTGTGAAATTCCCTGTATAATGCATATTTTTACCTCAGAATTTGAGCTTTCACTTCAAAGTGTCCTTGTGATTCCATAAATAATCCAGGAAATATGAACTGAGTGCAAACCAATACAGTGTGTCATGCCAATACTATCTTTAGCTGCAGAAGTAGAGCTGAGTAAAGAAAATGTATACAATATTTGCCTGACTCTTTCTTTTGCTGGAGCCATGAGTCAGTTTCCACAGCACTAAGTAGAAACTCAGGATCACAGAGAAAATCAAATGACTTTGATTCACTATGGAGACTAAAATAACCACAAGGTTGACTCATTCTAAACACTAAAATCTTAGCTGAATCTCATGCTCCAATATATTGCCTACATTGCAAGCCAGAAGAAACCTTTCAGTTTTTGTTTCTGCCTCAAGCAGAGCTTATCTAATTTTCCAAAAGGCATCTGGAGTGTGTGTGTCAATAAAGATCTGGAGTGGCTGAAGGAAATAGTACAAACTAGGCAATGACCCGAAAAGCAAGGATTGGAGGAAGCAACAAGTTTGGCAACACCAGTTTGATCCAAGCATTAAAAAGAGACTTTTGCAGTTATCCAAGATCAAGTTAATCTAAATGCATAAGGAGAGGGAGCTAGCCAGCTAGCCTGGGCAGACCTAAACCTGAAGAGAAAAATCAGGGTTCCTGATCACGCGGAGATGCTTCACATATAGAGATGCCCTCATCAGATCTAACTCTCATCAAACAGAGATCTGGAAGGCAATGTGCTCCTTCTGCTAATATGATCAGATTAACCCTGTCTTGAACTGTTAAGAGTTTTTACAGTCTCACATGTTGCCTCTAGTAGATGTGACTGGCAAGGACTTTTCTAGGTCGGGGTGGCTGTTAATCTATCTAGCACTAACCACTAGTTCCCTCTGCCTCTGAATTAAAAGAGGGCCCCACATCACTGCTCAATACTTTCACCCTCTCATGAGTTTGTTGTAATCCTGTTTTTGAAAGAAGCCATATTTGTCAGTTCGGTGTTGATTTGTAAGTAATGAAACTTTTTTTATTCTTTCTCTTACAAATATCTCCATGGGAGTTATTGAGACTGTAAGTGTCAGTTAGTGAGAGAAAGGGTTTGTCTTCTTTGGAGAACGTAAAGCTAGTCTGCTCTGTGAATCCCTGCACTTCTGCTGTGCAGTTAGAGGAATTTAACCAGAAATTCAAAACTTTGCAACATGAACATCTGAACAGAGCTCAGGACTAGGGTAGAAACATGAAAATTAATGTTTTATGAATCTACATATTACTAGTCAACAAGAAGTGTACTGTTAAGAGGCATTTGGAAGAAAGAAAATAGGAAACATAGGGTTCAGTAGCTTGAAGTATTAGATTTTTAAAAACGAATACAGAATGTATATTCTGCAGTTAGTTTAACCAAAATTCTCAGGCGGCACATGAGCCAAGAATGAATGTGAGCTGTATGATCTGAAATACTAACCAATCAGTATCTTTGGTACAGGTGTCTAGTCTTCTCATGCACTGCTTGAAAAGCCTTGAAGCTTCATGTTATTATGAAATCAAGAAAACCACTCAAGACATTTTTACTGCGCTGAAAGTCATTATTTATGTGGCAGTAGGTGCTCCATATCATATCTACACAGTTTGAAAGCCAGTTTCTAGAGATGATTCATCCCACTTATCTGCACATCTCCTACATTGCCAATACACAGTGTTATCAGGAGCCGATTTTGGCCTACGGAGTTTGGCCAAAGAATTAACTCATTCCTAGCATCATCCTAGTAGGAACTTCACTTGAGTAACTCTCTGGAGAGTTTCAGGAGAGCTTGTGCATCTTCCAAATAGGTTTACCATCTTTCTCCTTCCCATAAAATTTCTAGTACTTTAGGCTGATTTCCTCCAAATGCCTCAGGCTTATACGAGTCTGTCCAATTGGCAGTCATACCATTGGCAAGCTCACTAAGGAATACTGACTCACTTGCTTGGAGGGATGTGATGAACATAACAATTTTGGAATACATCTGGGATACAAAATGAGTTTGAATTTCACACATTCATTATTTAGAGCAGTCTAGTAATGAAAAATAAAATTTTGGATCTTCTAAACAGAGTTGCATGGCAGAAATAATTCAGAAGATTTAGTTTTCAAGGGTGTTTGTTTTTCACCATTGCATAAAAATTGTAGAGGATTAAAAAAAATCAGCACATTGAATTTCCAAAAGTGTTCTATGGTGTTTGTCATTCCTTCGTATTCAGCTTTAGGATAATGTTAACCATACACTCCTACTATGGCAGGCAGAAGTATGGAAACCAAACCATTCTACTTCAAGCTGAATATTGCTCAGCTACTACCAGCAAGACAAGTCTATCTCCGGACTAGATCAGATGGAAAGCTTTTTAATCTCACTAGATTGAGAGCGAAGACCAAAGTCCAAATAACAGTTCTACAATGTCTTGCATATTAATAGGCCTGGTCAAATGGTGGAATAAAGAGATGGGGATAGAGAGAAAGTGAGAGATGGGGGATCATATGGTTTAAAGTTCAAATGAAAATAGGACCACTCTGGGCGGCTAACAACAACATAGAGAGAAAGTGAGAGGTGGGGGGTCATATGGTTTAAAGTTCAAATGAAAATAGAGACACATTTGTAGCACATTCATTCCCTGCGAAAATTAACTGTTTTCTATTATATGATGACCATATTTTCTATTTTACAGAATAATGGCTGCATGTCATCAAGTTGTTTCCAACTCCCCTTAGTATACTAAAAAGTCGCTCACCAATCTCTCTTCTGGGGGCACTCTGGGGCTATGCAGCTTGGCCAAGGCTATACAGGCTGGGTCTTCTTCTGGGAGGCACAGTAGGGCATTAGACTCGCAATCCATACCTAAATCACTGAACTGTCCAGCCAGTTCTGAACTATCTAGCCAGCTAAATGATTACATGCTATCAAGTCAATTCTAACACATGCCAGCCTTTATTCTGGTGACACATTGGCACCATATAACTTGCCCAAAGCCACACAATCTATGCCTTTTCCTTTAAGACACAGTAGGGGAATCAAACTCTCTCTATTTGAATGGCTGTCAAACATTTGGTTGAAGGTTTTTTTTAATGTGAGCACTTGTTCATCTATGTTCAACAGGGAAAGCAGGTTGTCCCTCAGTAGTTCACACCTGGATCACAGGCCAAGCAAGTACGTGGTCCTCTGGTTATAGTCTTCCATGCTGTGGTAAGATGTATTGTATTTCTACGTAATTACTGCAATTAGTTCCAAATTTCCATTTTATGCAAAGTGTTCTCACTGCTTATCCCTCAGTGTGGCATTGTTTGTGTCTCTTGACTTGCACCTTGCTCTAAGGCCATGGTTCCCAACCTTGGGTAACCCAGGTGTTCTTGAACTGCAATTTCTAGAAGCTGCAGCCAGCACAACTAGTAGTGCAAGCTTCTGGGAGTTGCAATCCAAGACCACCTGGGTTATGTGAGATTGAGAACCACTGGTGTAAAGAATTCACTGAAAGCTGAGTTGCTCCTGGGGGAATGACAAGTCATTCTACTGCCTGATAGCTGCCTGCACTGCCTTGACATGCATGTATTTCCTTATGGAAGGCATCTCCTGACTATTGGATTCCATATCACACCAAAGAGTTGTCTTGCCTGTAACTCCGTATGTCTAGATTTTTTTTAAAAAAAATCACACCCATCTGCAACACCCACTGCAGGTTTTTTTGCTTTTGATGTGACCTCTGACTTTCATGCTAGTATCATCACAACTTACAAACAAGGTACCATTGGCTAGAAAGCATGCTTCTGCGTATAGCATAGGTGGGCAGTATGCAGCTTCCTAGTT